TAAATATTTATACTTATTATTATACAGACAAATCACTGTCTCTGAACATTCTGTGTATATCTATATATAAATACTCTCTTCATTTGGTTTCACTCTCTTCAGGGCCTGAATGGAGAGCAGAACAACTTAAATACCAAATGCCTTCACATGACATACAGATGTTTAAACTACAGACAAATGAAGTGAAGTTTGTTCGCAATCAGCAAAGGAAGGCTCAAATCAAACCTCAACTCTTCCTCAACAAAACCATCAATTATTGTTTCAAAGTATATACTCTTTTCAATCACTTCTCTATCAAAATGTACTCTTAATTAATGAATTTTGTGCCAAAACAGTGCAGAACTGCTATAGAAAACGGTTCATACGGTGTGAAGATCACTGTGGTTAAGAATGGGCACCAGAATATCGGGTACACCACTACTGCCGAGGAGGACGACACCACTGCCATCAAAGTGAACCCATCGGAACCGACTCATCCGACTCTGAATGGCTCGACAGCTCTCTATCACATCGAGTGCTTTACGTGCGAAGAATGTCGAGAGGTTTTGGTTGATTTGAAAGCATATCTCTACGCAAACCCCGACTCCACCGATGGTTCAAGAGTTGCGAACAATAAATATTTATACTTATTATTATACAGACAAATCACTGTCTCTGAACATTCTGTGTATATCTATATATAAATACTCTCTTCATTTGGTTTCACTCTCTTCAGGGCCTGAATGGAGAGCAGAACAACTCAAATACCAAATGCCTTCACATGACATACAGATGTTTAAACTACAGACAAATGAAGTGAAGTTTGTTCGCAATCAGCAAAGGAAGGCTCAAATCAAGCCTCAACTCTTCCTCAACAAAACCATCAATTATTGCTTCAAAGTATATATTCTTTTCAATCACTTCTCTATCAAAATGTACTCTTAATTCATTGAATTGAATTTTGTGCCAAAACAGTGCAGAACTGCTATAGAAAACGGTTCGTACGGTGTGAAGATAACTGTGGTTAAGAATGGGCACCAGAATATCGGGTACACCACTACTGCCGAGGAGGACGACACCACTGCCATCAAAGTGAACCCATCGGAACCGACTCATCCGACTCTCAATGGCTCGACAGCTCTCTATCACATCGAGTGCTTTACGTGCGAAGAATGTCGAGAGGTTTTGGTTGATTTGAAAGCATATCTCTACGCAAACCCCGACTCCACCGATGGTTCAAGAGTTGCGAACAGTTTGTATTGTAGCCGACACTTCGTTGAACTTTTTAAGCCGAGGTGCCAGTCATGCGATCACTTGATCTTTGATGAAGAATGTACTGAAGCTGAGGGCAAGGCCTGGCATTTGGGACACTTTGCCTGCAATGAATGCAAACGATCGTTAGGCGGACAGCAGTATATTATGGCTGATCCATCCAAACAGACAGATAAAAAAGCAATGTATGGCACAAAAAGTCCAGTTCCCGACAAAAGGAAACAACAGTTACCCTATTGTTTGACGTGTTTTGATATACTTTTCGGTGAATTGTGTGAAGAATGTGGAGAACTGATAGGCTGTGATGTCGGCGCCATTTCGCATGAGGGCCGGTCGTGGCATGCGGTCGATGTTTGTTTTAAATGCAACTTATGTTCAAAACCATTACTTGGAAAACCATTTTTGCCGGCATTTGACGGAAGAATCTACTGTTCCATCACTTGTTCGCAGGAAACCATTGAAAGGAATCGGTTTAGAGAAAGGAAGAAACCGAGACCTCTGGCCCATAGTATTCCCAACAGTCATAATCATAGCAATAATTTATCGAAGAGACCAGAAAACTATGAAAATAATTATTCAAAAGACGGACAAATTGTACAACAAATGAAACTAACTCCTCAAATGAGACCAAATCAACAAACTTATCAAAACTATTATCAAAAACCATTAGAAGATAAACAAAGACTTCCTGTGAATGAAGTGAAAGAAGTGTCGGTAAAACAGTTACCAAATAATGGATTACAGTTGAATACTCACCAAAGAACTGATGAATTGAATGAATTTCAAGAAAAATTAAGTGAAATTAAATTAAATGAGACCACAAATAGCTATGAATTGGAGAAAAAACAAAATGATTTTGTGGTTTCCATAGAAGATAATAAAGTTTCAGCGAATGTCACAAACTATAGTCAAAACTTTGCAAACAATTCAATGAACCAACAAATGCTTGATTATATCCAAAGGTATCAACAGTTTACAAGAGCTCCCGATTATGTGATGGAATATATGAAACAACAGCTGTTCCACAACGGCATCGATGGGCACAACGATATAATCGGTGCCACAATTGAATGCGGAAGCAGTTTGAGTGAAGAAGAGCGCACAAACCATCACATCCTCGACCACAAGACTGTCTCCGCTATTAATAATAATAATAACAATAATATAAATTACAATCAAATGCCATCCAAGACATCATCAAACTCTTCTAGTCTTAATATAACACCATTTGATACAAATACTAGGAATACATTGAAATACAATCCATCGATAACTTCGTCGTCTAATGAAACGACACCTCTTTTGCTGCGATCATTGGAAGAGAGGGCTAAACAGTTGACACAATTGAGCACTCAATCCAATCAACCCATCCGTAAGACAAAGATATTCAGCGAGCAATCTCTGCCACAAAGTGAGTCGCCGTCGCAGACATCACAGGCGGACCAGTCGTCTAATAGTTCCCTCATTGAGAACAACAATTCAATGAATCATTTAAATAATGGAGAAGTGATCGCAGATGTGAGGAACTGTCTAGAAGTGGACACACCATCGACTCAGTCGACAGCACTCCAGTCGACGTCCTCGCAAACCACTCCCGAAATAAATCCGAGGCAATCGACCAACAAATCGGTGACATTTGACCCCAGCGTTAAAGAGCCGACCGGCCGTCGCACGACTCGGAAGTCGAGGTCGAGACCAAGCAAAAGACACTCGGAATGGAGTGATAGTCACTCGTGTTCCACATGTAGTACCTGTTCCTCGTCTTCGTCTTCAAGCGAAGAGAACTTTGATTACGAATCAACTCTTGAGAGGAATCGGAACCAATGGTTGGGCGGAACCAAAATACAGTACGTGTCCAACGATAGGAAGAAGAATGTGTCCAATAATATAGTCCAACCAAACACTGTCCACAACCACAACGACAGCTGCACCATATCGTAGAGCCATTCATGTCATTCATATCTCAATCTTATAGTTATATAACTTATATAATATAAGGTATTCATTGCATTTCAATAATATACAGTATATTGTATTTAAATTTAATATATATTTATATAAATTTTTCCAATTCTTATACAAATTTAATGTTTTATGAAAATTATGTAAAAATAAAGTAAATTTTCGTGAAAATATAATTTATGTTTTAATTGGTGGCAAACATTTATAAATTGAAATTAATTTCACTTTAGACTCCATTTGAATATAAAATTAATTGTTTCATTTAAATAAAATGTTGCTCTTCTACTCAATTTAGAAGTTATTAATTGGTTTTAAAATTTTATTTTGTGCTCAAAATATTGAAAAAGCAGTGAAAGTGTTTGGTTTTATATCATTAAGTATGAGAATTGATTTATTACTTAATTATTAGTTTCGCTAAAACCCTTATACAGTGTTCATAATTAATGTGTATTTCGATTGCCTTCCAATCAATTGAATAATATTTTGCAATATTTAGTAAGAATTCGTGTCTATATATAGCCCCGGGATTAATATTTTAATAAAACAAAAATAGAAATTATTTCAAACTGCAGCGTGTGCTTAATCTTGGTAATCATTTAAATTTACATAAAAATAAAAATGTTCAATTGATTTATACCGTAATTCTCAACATGACAATCAAATGCTTAATAATTGCAATAATTAATTTTCAAAAAGACCTGTATGAATATCATTTGAGTAAAACTATATCAATTAGATATATTAACATATAATAATATTCTATACTTTTCAAATCATTAAGATAAAATATGAACTTGATCAAAGCATACAGTAATGAAAGTATTCTAAAAGTTTTGAAAGTTTTGTTTAATAAATAATTTACATTCAAGTAAATGATAACATCTATAATACTCATGAATTAAAGCAAATGTATTGAAAATGCATTGTTTTTGAGATCAATTAAAGTGATGTCCCGTCACTGGACTCGCAGTGATAGCGAAGAGTTTTCAGTGAAGATAATCGACGACTGGTTTATCATCTCTCGTGCGAGCAGTGAAGTGAAGGCAAGGCATCAGTGAATGCAAAGCAATGCAAAGCCAGCACTCAATGCATGACTCCCTCTGAAGGCGTGAATGAGACACACGTTCACAGAGTATGCGATAAGTTGTTCTGCTCTCCATTCAGGCCCTGAAGAGAGTGAAACCAAATGAAGAGAGTATTTATATATAGATATACACAGAATGTTCAGAGACAGTGATTTGTCTGTATAATAATAAGTATAAATATTTACCCTTAAAGTGAATGAAGAACTGCGAGATATTACTATTTTTATGTTCAGATCTCTGCTTTAATAATGCAGTCAACGGTTGAGTGAGTTTTTGCTGCAAAAATCCTGAAGTGGCCGATGAACTGATTTGTGGCGAACAGCTTGAGATGGATGAAGGTCCCAGTATTGGTAACAGCGCTTGGGATGTCTGTCCATGGAGTGGTGAAGGAGCTGGAAGTTGTGGATATTGCAAGGCCTGAGTTTCGATACTTGGATTCACTTCTGGTTCACTATTTATACGGTTGTTATGCTTAGACATAGAGAACATTTGACTGCAATATAAATCAAAGAAAATATTTTTAATTCTTTCTCCAAACAAACAAAAAATATCAAAACGGAAACCAAATATAATAATAAAATAAAAAAAAATAATAATCTTCTGAAAACTTGTAATAAGGTTTGATAAACAATAAGAACTGAGAGTTTTTGTGTCAATGAATATAAAGAAGTGAACAATAAAAATGCACAAACACTATACCAAGTTGGTATTACCAACTCTACGAAGCTATGCTAAGCCATAAAACTGTGAAACAAGTGAACAACTAATGAGAATAATTCACTGGACCAGAGAAGGACAGGGCTATAGTGTACAGCCTTAGAGATCAGTATAGTATAGACACGACACGAGCCAACGACAAAGAAGTACAACGATATATACATCAACTAAACTAATCGCTTGATTATTATCCATGAAAACGACGAATCAGAGGCCGATGTCTCTGTGTTTTGATAACAAACTTTTTTAGATGTACTGAAAGCTGAACAGACAGTACAGAACCGAGCCGTTGAGTGCACCTCAACAACATAAGTGTGCAATACTTTCGCACAAGTGTTGACTGAATTATTTCACTTTTTTCTATTTCATTCAAATAGTCATTACGAGAGAGAATTAGTGAGAAAGCGTACAAATAATCGCTTCAATGAGTTATGAGTTTAGGAAAAGTGAGAGAATTTTGTATTGAGATGTGAAGCGATGTGAGAGCGAGAGAGCACTCAATGACTTACTCCTCATCCCTATGAACACATCTGTCACTGAATATTGTATTGGAATTCGTGGAGCACATGGAGAAGGAGCGGATCTGTTCGTGAAATTGCTTCAAATGGGAATGGGATTGGGATTGGGATTGCTTTGACTGCTGGTGACAAATGAACTGTCCGTTGTTGTATATCCAACACACTTTCCACCAGTGCTTCTGTCGTCTCTGCAGCTTAGCCGTAGTGGACGACATGGATGTGCTGGTGGTTGTTGTGGTCAACTGTTGACAACTGTTCACACTTTCACTTTTATTGTCCACTAATGAAGAGGTCGGCCAAAACCACTGCTCTATGGGCTGAAAGAGTTGTCTATTTTGCGAATCCACTGATTTGGTAGACATTTTAGTGGATGTAGTGGAGTGGAGGCCGACTGGAGTGGAAATGGTAGTAATGGTTGGAAAAGTTGGTAATAATAACAATGGCAAATAGTGAAGTAGTTGCGAGTCTTAGCATTGGTATCCTTTGGAGTAGTTCTCGATCTCCACAATAATTGCCGGTTATGTTATGAGAAGCAATAGTCGAGCAATTACTGCATATATGCCTGGGGGCAGAGCTCAGCCAAAAGTGCCTTTACCTCATCACCAGCCCTATGTCTTATACGGGGCTGTCTGTCACTTTAGTTGGCTTAAAGCCCTCAAAAAAGTTTAGTTCCCCTGAAGTTTGCATATAAAATAATGGATGAATCGATACATGAGATGTAAAGTGGAAGCAACGAAAGCAACGAAACTGAATGCAAACCAACGATATTATTAGGGATGAGAGCATCGCATCGCCGATCACTCCCATCCCTTGAGGCAAACTTAAAGCCTCTACTGTATTGTCAAACGAAAGTAATTTTGTTGGTTGTGTTGTGTTTGGGTGAGGCTTATACTGAATTGTCGGCAAATGAGCTAAAAATTGTTATAACGCTAAATACTAGACTCCAGTCTTATCTCAGATAACCTCAACGATAACTACAAAAGTCTAAACACTTTATAAAATTGTTATCTCATAACTCAATTGATAACTTTTTTCATTTGTTTAATCATTCAATTGAAAAAACGCTTGTAATAAATCTTTTTATTGCTATTTCACGAGTGTGTGTCTCTTGAATAAGGGGTAAGTTTTTGCCAAAAACAGCAATTTTTCATCATTTTTACAAGTGTTTCGAAATTTTGATTGAATTTGGAAAATCAATTTATTTTGGTTTCAAAATATTTTGAAATAAATTAATCAAATGTAGGTTAGGATCTATTTTTTCGTTATCGATATTCCGTTTCTATCAAAAATTTCAACTTTTTATTTATATATAAAACCTACCTAAAATTAATCAGAATATAATTTGATTATAAATCTAAATGTAAATTTATTCCAAAAATGTCATTCTATACAATAGTATAGAATTCTTAATTAGATTTGAAAACTTTTCAAAATTATTATCACTGAGTATTTGAGAGTTTGAAGCCATGGGTTTATGTTATTTTCTTTTTCCAACAGTTGAATTACAATTTTATGTCTTTATGTTTTCTTTTATGTTCAAATTCGTCAATCTTTGTGTCAATCTTTAAGAGACGTTTAAAATGCTTTAAAAATAGTAACTCTTTTTGTTTTGAATTAATTCTAAATCTTGTTTTAATATTATACTGAATAGAAAATGCCTAACCATAACTTTAGGTAATACAGTATAAACACCTGGTCTTTGCATAAATTTTATCAAAATAGTTATTCATTTGAATCTCGAATCAAAAGAATTTAGTTTGAAATTAAGATGAATGCAAAGACTACTCATTTGAATTGGGATTTCATTAACAATCAGTCATTGGAATCAAAAGACCATTTGTTTCGATACAGAGATTTGCGAACAAAAGATTTTCATAAGAATTCACTTTTCAATGACTATTGAATAGAAGACACGAATAGATTTATCCCACAAAACGATTAAAGACTCAAACATATAGTGAGGGAACAGTTGACCAAAGATTGATCGAAAAATACTTTTATCGAATATCCATAGAAAATACAATTTGTAAGAATATACAGTATATCGATATATAACTTATAATACGATTATGTAGTGATTAATGTAGAAATGATTGCATGAAATACTAATGAGTCGAAACATTAAAAGAATATTATTCTCCGTAATATCAATGTGTGTCTGATATCCCGCACATTTTGCACTTAGAGATGAGGGGTAAAGGCATTTAAAAACATCCGACAACATCACGATTGGGAACTGGAATGACCCCAAACCTAACTGTGCTCTCGGTTTGCTTTGGACTTAACTTAAGGCACGAATTTGTAGTGAAAACTATAATTATTATGAAATGACCGCTCCTTTCATTATTTAACTTTAATTCAAATAATTGATTTCAAAACAAGAAATTTTAATAATCATTGTGTAAAAAATAACCCAAATATTTGTTGACAAATTAAATGATAATTATCTCTTCATAATTAAGATAAAACATTGAGATTGTAAGAAATAATAGTAATTTAGGAGTCAATTCTCAGACAAGTCATTGATCTCTCATCGAAATAGGATTCCGTAGAAACAAATCCAATAGATTTGAAATGAAGTCATAAAATCAACATTTTATTATAAAACTCAACATAAAGTTCAGACGAATTCAATGAATCGAAATATTCCCAAACGAAACGTGTTTTCAAACTCTTGTTTGGAAACTATTTTTAAAAGTTTGCAAACATTTTTCATATTACCGAAGTGTATATCAAAACATATTCGTTAATAATATAACTTATAGCAAATGTCGGGTCAAATGTATTGCCACGAAATTATTGCACAATTGATGTTAAGCTAAAATCCTTTAAATTATATCTTAAGACCTAATGAATGAGTATTTGTAGAGAATTTTTATGAGTTGAACACATTTTTCTATTTATAGCATTTATCAAAAGTAACTCATATTAATTTACTCCTTTTTAAAAATAATCATTTTATTTAATAAAAATTTATTATAGCTTTAAATTGCTTCGAGGAATGAGAATTTTAGTTTTAATTATTATTTTATTATTTTTACATAATGATTGTATTTGCGATAATCAGGTTAATTCATAATTTATGTTACGATCAAATGCTTAGATTTGATTTATAAATATTTATAATTAAATTCAATTCTTTGTTTTTTGAGTTCACACATTAATACTTATTACCATTTGTTTGAATGGTTTGGTAACTGATTTGTATTTCACACTTCATTATCATTTACTATGAAAGTGCATGTAATTAAACTGAATATTATTTTATCAAATATTGTATAATCAGTTATTTAATGTATTTCAAGGCTCGATAAACACACCAAATGTTCACTTATTATAATAGTTATTGATTTGTATAGTTATAGTCGTGATCTGGTTGTCCTATTTTGGTATAAATTGCTTTCATGTCTTAACAACGAAATTATAATTAAATGAATTAAAAAAATATTTAAAACCCAAATCATGAAACTATAGTTTGAGAGACATTTCTTATGGGAAAAAGTTTTTGAACTCAAACTAAAGATTTAATTCAATTCAAAGTCTTTTACAACTTTTTAATACTAGAGCTTCCGGTGCTCTTCAACGGAAACTCGTGTCAACTAAACTTTAATTATTTTGAAAATGAAATTTAAATAATTTATATAAAGATAGGAAATTAAAGTGACTTTTAACGAAAACAAAATAAAAATTTAACTTAGACAACTTTTCACAATATTATTTTGAATATATTATCGTATTATCCTCTATATTGCAATTATTAATCTCAATCTTAAACCTAATAAAATAATTTGCTATTAAAATACATTTAACTATTTCAGGTGTAATATAAAATTGAAGTTTTTATGAAATTAAATGAGCCTTAATATAAAGTAAAGTAAGATATTAAAAGTAAAATTATTATTGGTTTAAGTTATTGAAATGTTTAAATTTATTATATTCAATAGATATATTCATTTAAGTTGGACTTGAGTTATTAAGTGTGCCTAATAGTATTTATTATCTCAATATAATTTACAAATATTATTATAATCTTTGAGTTCATATTTCAATTTAAATAGTATTTTTAATATTACTTTTATGCAATCAACATATTTTGAGTTTCAGTTCAATAACTTATGTCAATGGTTTGACATTAAATCTGGTTTGTCAGATATGTGCAAGGTGCTAAAAGTTATTAAAATAATGATATAAATGCGTTTCAAATGGAGTTAGAGTTCTTCAACCTTGGGGAGTTCTTGAAGTTAGAATTGCATAGTAAGGGACTATAGAAACTAAATGAAGAGTGGTGAACAAACAGTTATTATAGAAGTCAACAGAAAGGTCTTATGGAACCGTTGTCTTCCATGTCTTCACTGATATTGTTGTTGTTGTTTACGTTTGATTCATTCAAATCCATTGACAACTCATAACTTATTACTGATTATATTATTGATATAATACTTCAATCAAGAGCTTTGAAATGACTTTAAAATTAAATTAAGTTTAAAATTTTTAATTAAACCCTCTTTTCATCTCTAAATAATTGATAATTTAATTAAGAAATCATTGGTTTAGAAAAAAATTTGTTGTAAATATTGATATCTAGTTAATAATTAATGACATTTCAAACACTCATTAAACTGTTATTAAGTAATTAGTAATAAAATGAAACGAAAAACAAAAATCACTGAAATATTATTATTGTTGTTATTATTAATATTTATATATAATGTGGTTATTAACTCAAAAAAAGTTAACCGAAACTTGTATTCAATCTAATGATGTAAACTTCAAAACAAATTACAACTCAAGTGATTAGAAAATCCTAATTTATAAGACTTTAATCCATTTTAGAAAATAAAACTAAAGATTAAGTAAAAAGTGTTTATTAATGCGGAAGAATCACAATATGGCTGAGGATTCATTCAAATCATTAGTTAAGTCTTAAAACTGGTTTTTCAAGACTCTTATGACGCATATAATCGTATAATTAGCCCAAAAACACTTCAGACTATTTTCGCCAGACTTTGTATTAGGCCTTAAATCTCAGAAAATGAAATGTTTTCAAATGAAAAAAGTTTGTACCACAAGATGATTGCTATTATCATTACTTTGATTGAAAACAAATTCACTTTTGATGGCTTATTCAGCGCATGAAGTTTTGAACGATAGTTCAAATCGATTGATATATTGAATGAAAATTGAATAAAATAATGAGAGTATTATGTTTGGCAAAACTTATAATTTATGAAAATACAGGTAATCTTCAACTCGATTAAGGATTCTTTTGGAAGTCTTATGTGAAGACAATAACCATTTCATAAATATTGATAAATATTTCAGGAATAATAATATTCTTCAAAACATTTTTGACATCAAATTAACATAAATTGTGAGCAGAAAAGGGAGAGAGAGAGAGAGAGAGGAGAGAGAGAGAGAGTTGAGCCATAAAACGAGAAATTCAAATATTAAGAAGTCTTAAAAATTTCATATTATTTATTAGAAAATATTATTTATATAATGTATTATAAATAAAGATCAGACCCAACCCTAACAGACTATTTTAGGATTTAGTTTTCATTTTATAACAAAACACTTCTTTCCGAGACATAAATCTTTGAAATTTCTGTAAAATTATTATCAAATCTAAATACTTTTGAATGTATTTATAATCTTTGTAATAAATTTAATGTCAAACATAAATAATAAATATTCAGAAATAAATTTAAATAATTATTTAAAACAAACAGAACAATGACTTCATTATAAAGGGACAAGATTTTAAAACTTATTTTATTTGCTAAACAAACATTACAATTAAAGGTAAGTGTTTTAATGGAATTAATTATTTTGTTCATATGATATAATAAACTACTTGAAAATCAAAAAATAAAATGCTTACAAAATTAACAAATTCTTAAAAAATATTACAGTTATAACAAAAATGATGAAATGAATTTAGACTTTGAGTGTTATTTAAGTTTTCCCTCAGAGGTTGAGAGCCAGGGCCGTGTAGTGGGCAGAGTGGACGGGTAGTACGTGCCTTTCCTTCGCTTAAGTGTGCCGTCACTGTTGCGGATGGGGTAAGTGGCCATCATTATAGGCAACTGCAATCGCACCGACTTATGGGCGCCTTTCGGTGTTATTATAAACTATTGGGTTGTCATATGAAGTCAAATATTAGTTCAATAATATGTGTCTAAATTGCAATGTTTGTTAATAGATACTAGACTCACATAAATATCATATTGGATTTGAATCAAGTGACAGCCTCTGTAATTGAATTATGAATGAAAAGTTAATTATTATAATTTATGTATGAAATAAATGACTATATTAACTTATAGTATGATGGCATACCTTAAATTGGTTGGAGGGATGGGTGGTATATATAAGAGTTCATTCCTCCACTGTTCGGCACAATTGGCAGAAATCTTTCCCTTCTCTAAAGCGGCTAATTCTCGGGTTTCAGTGAAAACCACTTTATTCTTAGCCGTGTATTGAACCGTCTGTTAATATAATAATTAATCACTTAAATTGTTTTAAACATTTGGGACAAAAATACTCACTTCTGTCAAAATGGCTCGAGTTTTCTTAATAACACAATTGCTGTCGTTTTCGATGAGAGCATTGATACAAATGCTTTCCCCGGGCACATACCCGCCCCGATCCAGTTTCACGCGACACATCACTTTGCCGGCACTCATACACGACATTCCGATCTTCTCCTCGAGTTCGCAATGAAATGGTTGCTATTGTGGTGAATATTAAATCATTGGTTAATCTTCTGTATGAAATTCATAAGAAACAAGAATTACTGTTAGAAGCTGTGGCTCTAAATTGAGATCAATTGGACTCATGATTACGAAGACCTGTTGGTTCTTATGGATCAGACCATTGGGTTCTCTGAGTTCTGCTCTACAAAAATACTGAACCCAACCGTGTTTTCCCAAAAAAGTCGAGGGAAGACCTAATGGCAAACCCAACTTAAAAGGAAATGTATGCACTCCGGGAGATAAGACTAAGATTCTGCCGCTATTTACAGTCGAACCGTTGAAAACACTTCCACTTTCTGTAAAACAATAAACAATATGTTCTCATTAGTAAAGGTGTGATTCATATTTAGTCATTGAAATTAATTTTAATTTTGTTATTGTAATCAACATTAGCTAATAGTAAGGGTGTTATCATTTTGGCAGAAATATATACACATTAAAAATAATTTAAAGCAAATGTCAAATGTGTTGGAAGTTCTGTCTGACGCCCACTGGAATCGTCCCAAACAAAGCCTTCAAATAAAGTTTTTACTGTTATATACCTTAATCATAATAAAGCGTTAAATTGTGATTTGATCAATGAGGACATTAGCAATACTGTCAAATTTGTTTTCGTATGTTTTCATACTTACATTTAAAGTAATGTATCATTTGGTCTCATTATAAACACTAGAGTAATGTAAAGTGACCATGACAATATTTTATATTATTAATGTTAGTTTTGAAAATATATCTTTAATGCAAATTGTAATCTTATCAAGGGATAAATATAAGGAACATATTTCATAACTTTCCACCGCAATAAGCCTACAGATTAACTATGTAAATTATGTTAGTTAATTAGTCCATATACAATAAGCCATGAAATTGTAAATTAAGTCTAAATGTCGATCGATAATCGATAATAACTTGCATGAATTTACAAAATAATTGCATTACAATACTATTTGTATAGAAATAGATTCAAATACTGTTCAATACATACCACTCTTAGCGGAACTGTCGCCCAAAAGCCTCATACGAAAGTCAATATAATTTTCTTTGTCGGTTGAGTCCACCCTTCCTTTATTGGTTAGTCTGACGACTCCTTCACCGACGATATGAAAGTAAAGACCTGTCCATTCATTCAATAGATATACAAAATATAATTAAATGAATATATGAATGGATGCAGAGAAATGTGATACAAACCGATGGCAGGGGTGTCCTCTTCGAGTTCGAGTAACACCTTTCCAGTTAAGAAGGCTCCGGGAAAGTAGAGGAGAGACTCGTCGTCCAACACTATTAGGAATCTCTTCAACTTCTTCGCCATTTTATAGCTCTTCTAAACCGTGAAGATAATGTCCAAACAAATGATACTTTCGTTTCAAACAATTTTTTATACAATTAAACTCTTCGCTCAGATTTGGCTCAAGAATATCGTACGAAATGATTATTTGCAAGTATTTATGATATGAAAGTGAGTGAAGAAGAGGACAAAAGAATAAAACAGTGGTTAAGAAGTGGCAAAGAAGTGGTAAAAAGTAATGGCAAATGAAAGCATCTGCTCTTCACTCCTACTCATTGATACCATAATTGGTTTCCAAATTACAGCACAAATACATACATATACTATAACTCCATAACTCTATTCGTTCGCCTAATTCACGGCCAAAATGAGGTTATTTGACGTATGAATCGTATGTATGAATGGGTTTATATGTTTACACCTATTAATAGGTGTCTCACAATTTACTTGCTATTAATTTAACATACTTTCGGTTTATCATAGATTAGTCGACAGATCGGTTGTCTCTTATAATTGATTTGAATTAAAATATTGTTCTCATAGCCAATAAATTGAACGCTTAATTCAATTGTTAATTAATATTCAAAATAATATTCACAATACAGTATATTATTATTATATTGTCTTTGGAATCGCCTTAAAGTATGAAATACTGGTGCTATGAATGCAATCGAAATGAGCGAAAACTTGTGAAACAACTTTTGTTGAAGTATTTGTTGTTATTAAGATAGTACTGAATCTTTGGGAAAAGTGAATGAATAGGAATTTGCAACTTATTGTCTAAAACCTCATTCTTCGTAGCTTTCAATATGATTGATACGAGTGGCCAGGGATTCATTTCATATTCAATTATTTTCATAACGATTTTTATTTCATTTTTTTCAAAAATGCATTTTAAATACAATTTATTTTCTATACAAATATAGTCACAAAAGGCTAACAATAATACTGAGAATGTTTCTCAAAAAATGTTTCTACAAAAGAGACAAATTCTCGTCAGAAAATCCAATATTTATGAAACAGTTAAATATATTTAGCTATAGTTTTTATAAAACATATCAATATTTTTTGGCAAACATTTCGATCATTACAAACAAAATGCTTCAATAAATCTACAAATATTGGCAATACTTTCACAACAATACTCTGTATAATAATACAAACAGTGTCTTATACTTTGATTTATAACTTCATAGGAGTTATATTTAATTGATTTGATCCGAAATCCTTGTCTTAATATTATATTCAATAATAGCAGTCATTTGTAAACAATTATTGTTTAAGTAATAAAATATGACTTAAAATAATACATAAAATAGTAATGTAAGGAAGCGTTCAAACATGGAATAATGCATAAAACAAATAATGATTAATACAATTAAAATAGAGGTAGAGATAGTAATGATACAAAGAAATGATATATTGTTTGTAAATCTAATATTTGTAAACAATAAACTTTTAATAAATTAAATTAAACTTCAGTCCCATCTGAATGTGCACTCAATTCATCTAAATCTGTCACTTGAAGGTGTCGTTCCCTCGCATACGCCGACGGATGGATTAAATCTGGTTCTGATCAGAGGAATAGTCACATTAATATATTACACTAACAAACCACAAAAATTGCATTAATATACCAGTAATGGAGTCGTAATTATCGCTATAATTATCATTATATAACAATTGTGTTGAATAATCACTTTCAGCGTAATTTTGATTATGAGAGACATTTGAGTTGCCGTTTATGTTGTGCTTAATGAGCCAAACCTGTGGTATCTCTTTATCTGATTTCGAAATATATTCAAACAAATTAATTAAAATAACCAAAAAATGTAATATTTATTTAAATAAATACCTAAATTGACTGCAAGTCGCGGAGGCTTTTGAATTGGATTCACTCTCAACGATGGGTCAGTATTTGGGGTCAATTTCTCGAGTTCTGTGCCTTCAGACAGACTATTGTTTGTATGGCTTTCCTTCCTTTGCTGTCGGCGTCGGCATAACAGCACAACAGAGATTCCAAACAATACTAATACTAATAAAATGCCCACAAGAATGCCAAATATTAAGCCAACCACTACTTTGTCGGTCCCGATGTCCTCTAAATAGCAAAAACAAATTATAAAATCATTTCAATTACAGTTAAAGCATTATATTGTATAAAACCATCAAATTTGTTGTTTTGGCTGTCATTGACGTAATGAGATTCAGATGAGGCGGCGGCCGCCGTTACCCTTCCGTTATTGAATTGAGAGCTCTGGCCACTGACCACAACATCAAACTTCTTCTCAACTCTTCCGGCATTGTTTTTTGCGACACATACATAAGCACCGGAATTGAATGATAGGACGGATGATAACTCGAGTCGCGATATCATTAGCTTAAGTGATACATAGAGTAACAAAATGTTATTTTTTAAAATGCTTAAAGAGAATATCAAATGTTTAAAACCTTTTGATTTTTCACTTTTTTCTTTGTTTCAGTTATGAGGAAATACTGTTGGTTTTGGTTCTGGATGAGACAGTCTTGACCACAACCCTTACTGTTGTTAGAGATGGGAATGTTATTCCAAAACCACTGAATAGATAGAGGCTGTGAGTCGTCCTCTTCTTCCGTCAACACAACACTGCAGTCGAGCTTTAGAGTCGAGCCTTCATTTGCCTTCTCGTTACCAGTACTTCAAACATCAATTAATTCATTATAGTTATTGCAATTGAAATCATTTACTTAATACACTACATGTTTCCATATCCCTTAAACTTAACCCTTGAACCAATCAAAATATAGTCCACTTAAGTACTGTATTTCATTTACCCAAAGAAATGCTTGCATTTGAGTATCGATTTCAGGAATCAATTACATTACAGATATTCATTGAAACAATTGATTACTACATGTATCTCATATACACGATATGCCTTACATTAACAGTGCGTTAAATTTGTATTAAATTGAATTAAATGATTCATTTCTGATATTAAATTACCAATGTTTAATAATAGAAAAATATTTATTATAAAAATATTTTCAATAATTAAAATAATGTTTATATAACAAGAACTGAGATTCTGGTAAAATAATAAACAAAATTATTACAGCATTACAATTATACTGTACAGAGATGTCAATGATCTTATGGATAGAAACACATAAATTTGCTAATGTCTTGTTCACCGTAACCATTACATATCAAAAATAATCAATAAATTGGTGAATTGATCACATTTTAATGCATTCATTCGACTAAACAAAACAATATTGTATTTCAATTTAAAATAGTGTTTCAAATGTATTAAAAAATTTTAAAAATAGAAATATTATGACAGTTAAATTTACATAATATCTGATATGAAAAACGATTCTGTTTTGCAAACATATGAATAATAGTGATTCTGTATATCGAAATATTAATTAAATTTTCAAAAACACTTTAAAGCAACAAATATATGAAAAATAAATATTACAGTGCTAATCATTAATAATTTTAATTATTTTCTGAAAAAATCGAAATCACGTAAAATTTCAAGTCATTATTTTAACTGTTTTTTATTCACAATATCTTAGCTATTCTTTGGAGTAATTAAGCGTAAAATCCCTTTTAATTTGAAAGTTTCCTCAAAAAACTTCAGTAAAGTTTAGCATAAAATCCAAACCATTATTCAATTCATAGAAATCATTAAAATTCTAATGCAGTCGTGAATTGCAAAAAATGCTCTAAATTTACTGTAAATAACATTGAATTTAATTATATTTACAGACAAAAAGCGCAAACAATAAGCTATAGGATTTTATGATCAAAAAATGAATAATAAAGGGAAATAATTGTCATGTTATGGATATATAACGAGTAATTATTGACTGAAATCGAGTTAATGTCTGTTTTGCACTCATGAACTGATAATATATAATACAATGTAGTAATGAAAACGATAGAGACATTAGACATAAGACATTACCTATAATTGGATATCACAGGAACGCATAGAAACGAATCCAAACCTATTTTGAATGAATCAAATGTTCTGTTTAATGCAATTGAGATAAGAATTTAAGATAATATTTATACAATCGTTGGGAAAAACAATTCAAACAAAATAAACATTGAATGAGAACTATATCTAACACTAAATGAATGTAAGAAATAATGACACATTTCGTAAGCATAGCGCAAACACTCACCCAATTGGGTCCACACTCTCTGGTTGTCCGCACATTTGGGTTCGTCTATAACATTGACCCGAGTGTTGGCCAATAGGTATTTGCGAACTGACCGCAGATTGCAATCACATCTCCACGTGTTTTCGCTTAAGGTTAGCGAATGGATGAGAGACATCGGCATCAAGACTTTGCTGTCTAGTGATGTCAACTCATTCTGGCTATAGTTTCACCATATAATTCATTACAACTCATATATTATATTGCATTACAATGTACCGTATATTAATAAAATGATATTCTTGCCAAAAATTATAGTACCGGTAATATAATAAGGGTGAACTCGAGTCAAATATATCATATCATAAATTCTTACTATTACAGTAATATCTATATCTCTACAATTACTTATCTATTCTTTTGAATTTTAAGTTTTATAAAATTTTATTAAAACCTTAATTTATTCATAAATCATAAGAAAGACATTCTTTACCTCAGTTTAAGTGATTCAAGACGTGAGAGACCATCAAAGGCGTTGTCGTCGATGAATGTGATTCGGTTCCTGGAAATTGATCCGCCATTTAGTCCACTTATTATATTAGACATAACAGAATGACAGTTACCTCTCCAGTGATAATGTCTTCAAGTTTGACAGATTGTGAAACGAGTGTTTGGGAACCGACATGATGCTGTTGGACGACAGGTCTAATGTCCGCAATTTAGGCATCGATGCCAATGATTGGGAGGGAATGTGTTTAAGACTATTAAAACTTAACTCCAATTCAATTACATTTTTCAGATTATTAAACGCCTTTTCGTCCACTCTTTCCAAACCCACTGAAAGACAAAATGAATACATATTTGGAGACAACTATTGACACTTCAAACATATAATGCTAACAAACCTTTGGAGAGATATATTTTTTGTAAATTAATGAGTTTTGAGTTCAAAAATATATTGGCTTTCAGTTCAATGAAGTCATTTCGCGTCAAATTAATCACTTGAACCTCTTGTGAATCGGTTGAGTCCTGGCAATGAGATAATGGATTAATCATTGAAGTCATACTAAAGGCATGGATGGTATGGATGGCAGACCTGAGGAAGTCGTGTGAGTTTCTGGAGGGAACAGTCGGCCGATAGTTTGCCTCTTTGCCACATACAGTGACACTTCCCTCCGAGACAGTCATGCGAGACAACCAATTGCACCAAATGGACGGTCAGTACCAGTAATACCGGTGTCAACACAGCCAACAAATGGCTAAAAGTCACGCTTCTTTGGCACCAATTCTGTGACAAATGCATTGTCTTATTGTGCGCTCAATGGATGAGATGTAAGACTTGGAGGAATGGCTCGATGCAGACAATGGTCACCACCTTTTGATTTCATTTAGTTATATATCTTATCATCGCTTTAATGGCATTACGTTTATCAGTAGTAGTAATGGTTTTGATTTGTAGTTTGATTTGAATTAAAACTTTTTTGAATAACAATTTGTAAAAAGAGTGAAAAACTTATTTCAAATCAATTGCCGATATATTCACTGAATATACATATATTTCACTATTTGTTTCCAAACTTAACGTCAAATGAGTTAAAAACAGTTTTCATAACAAAGTGTTCAATAGTTGTCATATATTTTCACATTTTATTCAAATTTATTAATCCATTAATCAATTGATTAGTTGTTAAAACATTTCTGAAATATTAATATATAAAACAAGATTAGTATTTTCAATAAATGAACATGTTAATATTGTTTAAAATCAAAACACACAAAAGTGTTTCATAAATAAAATGAAACTTTGTTTTATCATTAATGAGACTAATGTTAACAAATGAATTGAAAAGTATTTGAATGTAAAAAAGTAGAGACAATCAAATAATTAGCAATTATTTTACAACAAAACAAACGCTTTTTAAGCTAAAAGTCATGCATTGAATACATTATACACACTATTATTACTGGTTATGAGTGAACGGATAATAAGTTATTAATGCATTATAATTATAATTAAAGTGTTTTAATAGTTTTGATATTTTCAAACACATATTCAAGCAATAAATATGAACTCATTTTACAAATACATGAGAAGTGAATGGCAGTGAGAGATGAAGTGAAAAGTATGCAAAACATACCATTAGATGAGTGGTTGTGGTGTGAAGTGGACAACAGGTAAGCAATAATTAATAATTGATATCATAATACAGTGCATGTACTGTATGTACTGTATGTAGCAGTGGCTCCCATACCTCGCATAGCCTACCCTAAGCTGGCAGTGTGTCTGTCATCCAGTCATACACTGCACTCATATTCTGGTTGTGTTTGCTTTCACTCACTCTCTCGCAGACTCTCTCACTCTGTCTCTCACTCTAGCGTTGGCTGAAGTGAAGCCAAAGTGAAGCAATCGATATGTGCTTTGCTTTTGTTGCCTAACAGAAGCTTTACTATGGCTTTCAATAGGCGTCCAAAACATGCAAAAACTCGTCTCTCAGGAACACAGCATTCATATACTGTATTATAGCCATCGCTCACCTCAACAGCAATTATGTGACCAATAGAGGTGATCATCACATCATTTGTGGTCAATTGCATTGAGAAGTTCTTGTGGGCACAACTTAGCGCTACTTTCAAACCAATTGCCATGAATAATGAGCTCAGTATTTGCAGCAATCATGTAATCAATGTATGAATAAGTGGTTGTATTTCACAATTTCCTCTCTCACTCGTCACAAGCCATCCAATTGAATGCAATTCTCTAATCTATGTATCACTGGATAAGCACTTGTCTAATAATGAACTGTCAAATGTCATAACACAATAATACTGCAATGTTTATCGCATCATAATAAATGTGAAGACACCATAAATCAAATGGTTTGCCACACAATCGCATCCCAATCTCAACTCTCAATTTATATACACATTTAATAAGTTAATGCCTGTTCTCTAAACTAATTAAAGTTGGATTAACTTTTCACTAACAGTAAAGTCTAAAACATAGCATTTGTAAAACGAGTTAATTTTACTATACTTTGTATATTTACATCAAATTATAAGTTTTGATAGAAATATCAGTTAAACATATCGAGTGAAATGAATATTCTTTGTAATAAAACACGTAAAGCATTGAAAAACAAATAGAAAACAGATTTAATATAAAACAATAAGACTTATTGGAATTTAATTATTTAAAGGATTTTCCTTAAAGGGTTTAAAACAAGTTTAACATTAGTATGTAAATAATATTACGGTAATTACTGTTTATATTAATAAATATTACGGTAATATATTTAAGGAATTTATTTCTAGATCTAAGGAATAACTGATTTATAAAGAAACCTTTATTTGACTTAAAAGTATTTAAATGAATCACGACATGAATCGTGAAAAACATTCATAACGTTATAAATTACAAAATCCATGGAATCAGACGTTCGTCTAACGCTTACAATCTTTTTAACTAAAAGTAATCTTTTTATTAAATATTTACTAAATTTTATTATAAGTTAAATATTTGCAGAAAATTTTGAACAAATATTTTTTGTTGTCTTTACTCAGAATCAGAATCCCATAAAAACAAAGAATAAAAATAAAGTGCAGTAAAAGAGTTGACAATCGCTTTCGAAAGCATCGGTTCAGACAATCATAAACTCATTCACTGCTGAGTCTGAAGGAGCCGTTCGACCGCTGCGTTCACATCACCGAAGGTGGCGATCAGTGCCTGGAGGTTGGCCTCCCTGTTCATGAACCCCATATTTGCTAACTGTTCCAATTGACTCGTATACCTGTCCTCTGGAGGACTTTGAGACGAAAACATTTGTGCCATCATTTGCGAGAGGGCTGCAGCGCTGTTCACACTGTTCGCACTGTTGGCTGTGGTCGCCGCAGACGTCTGGTTACCACCAGTTCCGGTGGTGTTTGTCTCAGACGCCGCCGCACTCGACGTCATATTCAGTGGGTTTGGGATCCTTTACAACGGATAGACACATCATATTAGTCGCCCACTCATAGGATATCATCACAGATAAGACAAACAAATACATACATTCCGAATATGTTGGGCGCCACCCGTTGCAACTGTTCCATCCCCTGTTGGATCTGAATCATGGCCTGAAATACACAAACAATTCTCAATTCACTCTTCATTTAATGGTCGAGTAAGGGATCAAAACCTGAATCGCCTGAGGATTCGTGACAATTGACTGCATTTCTGGGCTCTGCATCTGTTGAACCATTGTTGGCATCATTTGTCTCATCTGTTCCTGCATTTCAGGATTTCCAGCAAAAAACGGATTGTTTGCTATGAGTTGTTGCGCCAGTTCTGGATTAGACGATATGGTCTGCGTTTGACAAATAATTATCCAAATTTAGTATAAGATATAAACACCCAAAGAGTGCAAGTGATGGACAGACCTGAAGCATGGACTGCATGTAAGGGGCGTTCATAGTATTCTGCATGAGCTGTGGGTTATCCATCATCTGCTGCATCAGACTCTGCATTCCGGGCGACGACATCATGCCGGACGGGTTTTGTGGTGTAGTAGTGGTGGTGGTGGGCGTCT